AAGATTCTTCAGTAAAGTTTGAGGAGAACTAGGATATTTGTGTAGTCTTGAGGTGTCTTCTCCCAAGATACATACTAATTACAAGAGTAAAAGTAGTAATTTCACAGTAGAAATCCCCAGCAACTACCACCATCAACTGGTGATGAAGGTTATGAAGGTTAACATCACCAGTAATAAGACAAATGAGCACCATGTGCCTCTTATTTATTTATTTATTTGTTTATTTGTTTATTTGTTTATTGGTAGTACCAGGGATATAGCTCAGGACCTTGCACTTGCCAGGCACTTCCACTGAGCTGTCTCCCTGGCCCTATGCCTCATATTTTAAACTGAAGAAGGCATATCATTTCTGGGATTCTCTTTCCAAAAGTCCATGATTTTATGAGAAGATAACTGATAAACCAAAATTAGGAGACATTCTACAAAACACTTAACTATTATTCTTCAAAAACTTCAAAGTCATAAAAAAAAGGACAGATGAACAGTCAGAGATTGTGAGAGACTGCAGAGAAGTTAAAGCTTCATGTAACAGAACATGTTAGTGGACTGTAGAACAGAAAAGCAGCATGAGTTTTGTAATTTAGTTAATAGTGCATATCAAATGTTAATTTCTTAGTTTGGATAAATGTACCATGGTTATATAAAATATTAACTATACAGTAAATTTGGGGTTTATGGAAAATTTTTATACTATTTTTGCAGTTTCTGCAAGTGTAAAACCATTCCAACGTTGTAAAGAGCTCTCACCATAACCGATGCTGTGCTTGTGCTGCTCTTTGCTTACTCACCACACGATCTTCTCACCTTGTCTATTGCTGTCACTGGCTGCCCTGCTCTGTGTCTCCTCATCACAGGTTCCCCAGGCCTCCTGGGACTTCCATGCAAATTTAAGCTAGCAAATGTCTGGAGACTGTCCAGAGTCTAATGCCTTCTTATTTGATGAAAGATATGTTGACTATGGAGCATAAATAATGTTTCCAAAAATCATCGAGGTAATGATTTATGGTGCAAGAGTTTACTGTCAAAGTCGTAGGGAGAGAAGGATGTTGGAGGCACAGAACACATATCTGTGTGTGCCCAGGTCCTAAACCACTTGTTTTGGAGCCCAGGAAACAAAGTAGAGAACCAAATGGTGTAGAGGCGTAGTCCCCCTCATTGGCATCTATGCCCGGTTCACACAGAACTGATGGATTGTAAGGACTTGGAGCACCTGGACACTTTTGTTGCTAGGGTTGGCACCCAGGTCAGGAGCATGTCTTTCACAGGAGCATGAGGGCAGCTGCCACAGTAGGGAGTGTTGCTTAGGTAACTTTGGTGTAGTGAGCTATCGGGGGTGAGGGACTTACAACAAGATCGTGAAAATTCTGTTTCCAAGAGTATTTGAGATACCCTCTATGCTCAGGGAAGCCAAGGGGGAAGCTTCTGAGGGAGGTCTGCATGGCCCAATAGACATCAAACTAGCACCAATATGACAGTACTTTTCCTTATTAGCTGGGCAAACCTAGCTTCTATTTGCATGTAACAAGAAGAATAATGAACAATAAATGCATACAGAATTAGAACTACACATGAAGAATTAGAAGAATGCTCATGGGGGGAAAGCCGGGGAAGCCCTGCTGCAGCCAGTGAGCTGGTGTGGAATCTGGCAGACCCTTGAGGCTGATGCCAGGCCAGCCGAGCACATGAGGGCATCACAGCCTTTGCCTACTCTTGTCCTGGGCTCCATAATTCTTTGTGGTGGACGTTATGCAGTAGTGAGCAGCGCCTTTGGCTTTGACCCATAGTTGTCAGTAACACAGCTCCCTCCTTAGCTGGGAAAAAACCAAAACTACCTCTGCACATTGCCAAATATTATATGGACAGAGACAATCCCTTCTAGGTGCAAATCACTGTGGTAGAGAGAAAAGGTAGGAAAAAATAATTATAATAAATGAATGTAGCAAAAAATAACATAGATATTTAGGAAACAAAAATTAATATAACATCCTTTATGGTGCTGCACTCTAAGAAGTAATAGAAGAGTATTGTTGGGCCAGAAGCCACTCACAACAATTCTTCAGTGGCTGTCTGTACTACATTGTCACTGACCGGGAGGGAGGTTCAGATGACTTTTATAGGCAGAAAGACAGGCAATCTTGCCCGTTGACTAGCGATGGTCTCGGACCAATGGGAGGTGCAGGCAAGAGCCCGGTGGGCGGTTGGCATTTGAGTTCCTCTCTCCAGGTTCCCTCCCTAGAGGCTGGTGACTGGCAAAGGATGCACTTTCCTGGGTCTACAGTACCTTCTAGGGACTCCTCTTCCTTGGTGTGGCTCTTGTTAGGTCCTGGCTGCACCACTCCTTCCCCAGACCTCTCTTAAGACCATAGCTGGTGAGAATTTGAGAAGCTGCTAGCCCTACTTGGGTCTCACTAGGCTCTTGTTGTTTTGTTTGGGGATTTTTTTTTACTCTGCAAATCCCTTTTCTATAATTCCTTTATTAGTTTCTCTTCAGTTTCTCTCTCCTCAGAATGCCCTCTGAGTATGCCATGTGCTCCTGCCATGTGCTCACATGCAAAACACACTGTAGACTTTGTCTTAGAGTTGATGAGAAGGCACTCAATATTTTAAAGCATAAGAATAAGAAGGTTAGTTCACCATTTTATAAATATAAAATTATTTGGCAAATAATTATAGAGAGGTAGATCTCAGGGGCAAAAATTTGACTCAGAAAAAAGAACGAGGACAATTTAGCAACAATAATGATAAAGTACTGATGATCTAACAAGAGCAAAGGAGTGTGTAGATGGATAATAGACTTGATGAGTATGAAGGGCTTAATGTCTTTATAGTTACTGGCTGTTGATATGATACAGGTGTCAAAGGAGAGGAAGGGCTGAAGGGCGGAGGGCGGACCTCGGGCTTCCATGGCAGAGTGGCTGATTGTGTTTCTGAGCAACAGCAGAAGAGCTGCAAACTTCAAATGCAAGAGCAGACTCAGATTTACAGGGGGAGATAATGAGCCCATCATAAGTGGGTGAGTCTGAGAACACCCATGGAGAGCCGCTCAGACATACCCAAAGCAGAAGCCAGGAAGGACTCTGAACAGTAACTGTCGGTTTGGAATCATCAAATGCAAATGATAATCAAAATCTGAGCAATAGTGTAGAGAAACACTGGCATTTAAAGAATGAGCAGAAAAATGGCTATGAAGGAAACAGAACAGCGTGTTATACCTCAGTGGTACAGGAATTTCCTAGCGTGTATGAGGTCCTGGGTTTGAGCCCAACTATAGCAAATAAATAAATAAATAAGACAAATTCTAAAAGCAATGAAAGTGTTAAAGTTTGTCTAAATGCCTCCCCAAAGCCTCAGACAGGCATGGGGACACAGGCCTTTTCAGAGGTAGCTGAATCTAGAGTTGGTGACTGGTTTGTAGTGCAATGCTGGGATTAAGACTAACTGATTGCTGGATTAGTACACTGATTGGGCTGGCACCACTCTAATCCCAGAGGTCTGGATAAAATAAAAAGGACAGACTTCCCGGCAAGTGCAAGGTCCTGAGTTCAAAACCTGGCACTAGATAAATAAATAAGGCAGAAGGAGACCTGTTTTCCCTGTTCTGTTCTTGCTGCTTTTGCTGTCTTCTGTCACCAAGAACAGCTGTCCCCTGCCATGTGCCCCCTGCTTCAGAGCCAGCTGAGTAGGGACTGAAGCCTCCATAGACTGTGAACTGCACAAACCTTTCCCTCTTCAACTCTGGGAGTTAAAGGATGGCTGACAGTGCAAAAGGACACCCTAATGACTGCACCTAACTGAAAACTCAAGGGAATAAGCAGAGGAGGAAAGAAAATATCTAGACTATTCCTGAAACCATGTCAAATAATCACAGTAGGCTACTATTACTCCACTTAGGGACTTAAAATAATTTGCACCTTTTTCATAGACTTGTTATAAGCATCAATTGTCTGCTGCATAGTTATACAGCCTAGACAGCAAACAGTGAATGTGAACTTTTAAAACTTAATAAGAGCCTGGAAGCAGCTGCAGGGGCCAGGGTTCAATGCCCGGGCCTGTAGTGCTGGCTCCACCCTGGGGGGCACTCTGAGATGGCAATTGAGATTGGGCATGGTGGTGCGCACCTGTAATCCCAGCTCTTGGGAGGCTATAAACAGGCAGATGACTATGAGTCTGATCTAGTAGTGAGATCCTGAACACCCTGTAGACTCTTCCCTAAAATACTAAATAAATAAATAAATAAATAAATAAATAAATAAAACTTAATAAGAACTTGTATGGTTCTTACTGTCACTTAGATTAGATTGAAAAAGCCAAAGCAATAAGATTCTGGGTTACTTTGACAAAACAAGTGGTCAAAGTAACCCACTACTTCATAGGCTGCAGAATTTTAAGTACAGTTTGAGTATTACTCAGTGAAAAACTACTTGACAGCCTCTGGAACTGAGAGATATATTGTCACACATAAAATTGTGACTCTTTTGTGGTAAAATATGTAAGGCATGGTGTTACATTTTGCATTATGTCTCCTAAAGGCTAATAGGACAAAGGCATGCCTTTGGTACTATTGGAAAGTGGTCGAGTCTTTAGGAAGTAGGGCCTATGTGGAGGAGGGTGGGTCAGTGGAAGTACGCCCTTTAAGATGACATGAAGACTCTGATTCTTCTGTCTCTACCTCCTGGCCATTGCGAGGTGAGCAGTTTCCTCTGCCACAAGCTCCTGGCCAGGCTGTACTGCCTCGACATCACTCAAAGGCAGCAAGGTTAGGAGACCACATGGGGACCTAAGCCCATGAGACTGAGTCAAAATACATCCTTCTTCTTCACGAGCTGACTGTCCTTGAGTGTGTTGTCACAGCAACGGGAAGCAGGACACATGGCCAGCTGTGACTTTGTTGGCAGATGTAACTAATTTTTCAAGACTCTTAAATACATTATGGATCATGAAATACCACTGTTAATATTCATAGGACTGATAACATTTGTGCACATGTTTAGGCTACTTACCTTTTGATGTAAACCCAGCTGGCACATATCTTCCTTGGATACACAGGGCTTTCCATCTGTCTTCCTTGAAGGTAAGCAAATGAGTAAATCCCAAGTGTCCAAATTACCTAAAAGCAAAAGAACATTGGAAAACGGATTATCTTTATCAGCTATTTTAAATCACAATTTAGTTCCTTGGATTAAAAAATATAATTATCCTAAAACATAAATAATAGTTATTCTGAATATATATATATGTGTGTGTGTGTGTGTGTGTGTGTGTGTGTATTTTTTGTTTTTTATTTATTTATTTTTTGTGGCCAACTCAGCCCACCCTGGGAGCCAGGCTGGCCAGCAAGTCGAGCTAGGGGATCAGGGGATCAAATTACAGTCCCTGCACTTTGACTAAGCTTGCCTAAGCTGGCGCTTTAGACCACTGAATTGTCCTGCCAGCCCTATTCTGAATATATGTAAAAGATAAAAACTAATACTCAAAGTAACTAACATTCAATCTGTTTAATTTAAGAGGCTACCACTTTGTACTTATTATTGTACTTTAGGGAAAGTTCTGAGAAGAACTGAAAGTTCTCAATTTTCTGAGAAGATATTATAAAAGAGCCTTTAAAGGATTATAATTAGAGTGCATTAAGTCACTAATATCATTATAAAGTCTTCTCTGGAGAGTGGAAGGAAAGATTGTGCTATCTCTTCCTTTAAAGAGGAAGAAGTTATAACATCAAATAATGATGAAAACTTACATTTTTTTTCCTGAGCATATGTATTACTAGTATTTTTAGAGTTCGTAAACCTAATATATTTTAGAAGTCTTCTTTCTTATTCCAAGAAAGTTACAGTAGATAAAAAATAAAATGAAATAAAATAAAAAAGACAAGCTTTGTGTAAAAGGGACTTACACTGTCATTATAGAGAGCAGAAGTGAGTTCAAATTAGAGTATAACCCAGAGTGAAGCAATTGTTATTTCAGCTATTTTATCAAGGGAAAGGCTCTTTGTCAAAAAATCATAGCAAACTGACAAGTAATCTCAAGTGAGGTCATTCTTACATAATACCTGAATTTTTTTTTTTTTTTTTTTTTTTTTTTGGTTACTGGGGATTGAACTCAGGACCTAGCGATAGCCAGGCAGGCACTTATGCCATTGAGCTATCTCCCTGGCCCAACACTTGAACGTTTTTAAATGAATGTTTACGTGTATTAATGGCTTTATTTTCTCTTGTTCATATGCTATATATATATATATATATATATATATATATATATATGCCTTGTATGTAATTGAGACTTTAAAACATTTGTTGAATGAAAGAATAAAAAGACCCTAATAGAGCCGGGCAGATAGCTCAGCAGTCTAAGCACCTGCCTGGCAAGTGCAAGAAAACCCAGATTCAATCCTCCATACCACATTTCAAGCCGGCCCCACACCGAGCCAGCCACTGAAACCAGGAGTGGTGGTGCAAACCTGTAAGCCCAGCACTGGGGCAGCTGAGACAGAAGGATTACTATGAGTTTGAGCTGCATAGCAAGGCTCTGTACCAAATACATACATAAATAAATAAATAAACAAAAACTTTTAAAGACCCTAATAGAATAGTACACACTATACTTCATGTAGTCAAAAAATGAAGAAAAGATATACTTATTGTTTAATATTATAGATGATGTAGAAATAGGTATTTCAAAAATATCCAAAGGTAGAGTGTGAAGAGGCAATAGGCAATTTATGTAATACACTGACATGCCTGGGAAAGCTTTCTCATTTTGAAATTCAATTATAAAAGAAAATTTCTGTACACATTGCCTCTTTTTTTATCTATCTTGAGGGAAATACTCTTTGAATTACTAATTTAGGCAAGGCCTCACCATTAGGTGCTTCTAAAAAGCTTAGGAAATAATCACGCTCTCTAAATTTCTCTCTTCTAAAATTTCCCAAAATTCTTAATTGGAAAGCAAGGTGCTCCCAAAGAAAGGCATTACAAAAGATAGGATGAATAAAAACAAAAAATCTATAACAATTAGGAATAAAATTTTACTGTCCACCAATAAAGTGCTTTTCAATTTGACAAGGGCTGGGACTTTAATTTTCCTCTTGCTAGAAGAAAATCTTTTTCCAGCAAACATAAAGATTCAGAAAATTGCAGTCAAACTCTTGTCCTAGAACTTCTGTGTTGCCTGAGGTATCCCAAGAAAACAACAAAATAGTTCAAAAGGGCAGAGAAAGGAAGCAGGATGTGGGGCTGAGTGCAGTCTCATTTGTGTGAGAGCAGTCAGGACGTAGGACGCGAAGACAAACCCTGCTCCACACAGCCTCACTTTGAAAACAACTTCAGGTCTAACCCTATGGCTAAAACCAAGTGAGTACAATTGATGATGCTAATGATTTACTTTAAATGTGAGCTTGTTTTTTTATCTATTTAAAACATTTTATTCAAAGAGAAACACAAAGACTGCCTTTATTCTATATTGTTTCTAGCCCAAGGAATGCTAAAACCCTAGAAGAAACGTCCTGTCATAAGATTCCCAACTAAATATTTTGATAAGATAAGGGCATCCCAAGACAGAGGTTTCAAATTAAGGGTTGCATTGTTTGGGTCTTTAAAAGATATATTTTGTTTTCCTCCAAGTCTCGGGCATACCTCCCTTCACATAATCTAAAGTTGACAGGAAGAAATATATATTTAATCCATAAATGTTTAAAACAAGTTTACATGTGTAAGTAATTCAAAGCATTAAAATTACTGGGGACCTCTAGTGAAAAACACATTGTTCTAGAAATATGCAAGACACAGCAAAAGAAGTGCAGACAGTGACTGCCCTTTACAATCTTTATGAGGAGCCTAAAACATTAAAAAGAATTTAAGATAACTTATAAAGCATCATACAGTTTCTTGACTGTATGATTCATAAGCTTGACCTCTTACCCCTCAAAAAATTTTGATTAATATATGAAGTTAAAATTTAATAATTCAAAAATACTCTATAGAGATAATGCTTCCCCTTAAATTTCACCTTAAAATGAAGTAAAGGATAGTAAAAATTTCAAAATATACCTTCTTAAGCTTCTTCCCTAATTCTTACTACTACATTCTGGAAAACACTAATTGTTTCAACTCAGAATTCCTATTACACTCACTGAATTCTAGCTCAAGCTCTCAAAACTTTATTTACTAGTTAAGCATTTAGTAGCTCTTTTCACTTTCAGTACATTTTCATCTCAGCAATTAAGTGAAGCTAATATTATATCTTAGCTGAAGGCATGAACGTCTTGCAGGCTAGTGCCCAGGACCTGTAGCAGAAATTGTAAGCTGGAGAACATGGATTAGTCCAGCCCTCAGATGGGCTGCATTTGCCCTGAGTAGTGTTAGTGTTAGTTTTGTTTTTGTATTTTAAGTATTTGTCAAATTCAAGTATCAGTACAATTCACATAAAACCCCAGATGTCAGCCTTCACTTCAAAGCTTGGAAACTCTTGAAACAGTGGTCCTGCATGAGCTTGCAAAGGCTAACGCCGGCCTCGCACAGGGTCTCCCTGGCCTTCACTCCACAGCCGCTCTGCATCCAGTAGCAGTGAACTGTCTTTGACCTAGTGAAAAATACTGCTGTATTAATTTTCCATGAATTGATTATTTGGCAAATTGATATTTCATGTTTTAGCTTTTAATGAACTGCTTTGTTCATTAGCTAAATTGGTTTCATTGATATAAATTCTGGAAAATTGATACTTAGTAATTTGGTGGAAGAAAGATGGACATAGCCTTTTGATCTCTAGATTTGGCATGCTTTTTCTCAAGGTTGAAGATGGTTACTTTAACTTCAAATCCATTTCATTGGCTGTGTTAAGGGTATCAAAAATGGGAGCACGACCCCTTAGAGTCTTTCCTCTTAGAACTTGAGAGAATCAAAGGGTGGTGTGTGGTTGCCTCCTTTGCTGTGTCCCTGCCTCAGAGTGGAGTGCTAATGTGGCCTACGAGGCACTGCTGTGTGGCTGGACCTCCTGCTTCACCTTCATGACCTCTACCCATGTGAGCTTAGCTCAGGGCTGCTGCTGCCACAGTAGGAAATGGCGTTGGACAGATTCTGTCTAGAATTTTAATTTTTTGTACCAGGGATCGAACTCAGGACCTTGCACTTGCCTGGCAGGTGTTGTGCTACTGAGTTACAAGAATTTAAGAAATATTCTGTTCTAGTGTTTCTCTTGGTTTCTTCTGTCTCTTGAAAACTGGCATTGGAGTGAAAATGATCTGAGATGTCAAAGTTGGGTTTGGGAAGTGATGCATTGAGTGTTGGGAAGAGATTTCGAATACTGGAAATCTAGGTTTCAAAGCTATATTCTTGGAACTATTAGTACATCAAAACACAGATAGGTAACAGGGAAACAGCTTGTTGGTGCCCACTTATATTCAGTTCTGCAGGACTTCCAACAGCCCAGAGGTGCAGAAACAGCAATGGCACATAGTTTACAAGGAGGGAAAATGAGACAGACATAAGAAAAGAATTATCTAGCTTTGGTGTCTTTTAGCTATTGTCTCCTTCATCTGTTTTCTTTTGAGCCCTTGAGGGAAAGAATGACCAGAAGAGGTGCAACTCAAGGATTTGTGGGCCTTCACACACCATCTCAGTCCTACATTATTAGCAATCCTGCTGGGAAATGAAGCTAAATCTTCCTCCGCCAAAGGAACTAGTACTGAACTCCAGTGGACTCAGAAACTGTGTGTTAACTTGGCCTCCACCTACTGCGAAATGAAATCCCTAAAATTTACTAGTCGTTTTGCCCTGATAGTATTCCTTTACCTGTCACAAAGAAACTAGAACTCCCTGTTAGACTAGCCACAATCTTAAACAGAGGGGTCAAAGGGCACAGTGTTAAGGAAAACAGGATGTAGTTGTTCTGAGCTCCATCTCAAAATTATAAAAACATGAGCATTTTACAGGCATCTCTAAGACCATACAACAAAACTGCCGGTAACATCAATCAGCGGACCTCCACCGTGCCTGCCCTGCAAAAAAGGAAGACTCTAATTTTAGGACATGAGGCAAGGTCCAGGTTCATTAATTCAGATACAAGATGGCACTGAACCCAGCTTAGGTTATTTTCCCTCAGTGTTCTCAGAAA